AGCAATACTTTTACCTTAAATTAATAAAAGTTTTTTCTCATTCATACTCCATGTATGAACAGAGTCCTTTCTGTTCATGGGGCCAGAGGGAAAGAGAGTGCTGGGGAGGGGCTTGCAGTAACAATACGCACATATGACTTCCACTCACAACTCATTGGACAGAACTAGTCACATGGCTGTGGCAGGTCACAGGGGACCAGGAGGTACAATTCTATCAGTGTCTAGAAGGAGGGAAAACTGGAATTATTAGGTGAAGAGCACTGACTACAATACATTATTTCATAAAATAGTAAGCTAGCCCATTTCTTGGAAAAACACAGAGTTTTCTTGAAAATTTCTGCCTGCATACTTTCCGCAAGCTAGGAAATAGATTAAATTTTGAATAACAATTTGGCATTCTGTTTGTTGGTTCACAGCAGGTCTATGTGGAGGGTGAGACTCACTCTTATTTCTATTTTTGCTCCATTTCTCAGTGGTAAGTCACAGCATCACCATAAAGAAAAGTAACTAATTGGTATTGTAGACGAATCCATATGCCACTAAAGTACGATAATGCAAATGAAACATCTCTCCATATGCCTTTCCCATTTGTTATCCCTTATTCTGACTCTTCACAGACATGCTCTTTGTACGGGCAGGCATCTCCTAACTTATTATGTCAATACATTCTATTTTCGTTGTAACTTGAAGTTATTATTTTTAAACTAAGTTTTATATGTAACACTTTGAAGAGCCAAGCGGCCCTAAAAGGCTTGTTATGAAAAACAGTTCACACTGCCCCACCCTCCACTTCCTGTACTCCAGAAGTAACCACTTTCAATTCTTTTACCCATTTTTTTCATCTCTGTATCTCCAGCTTATATGGCTACTTCTTGATTTTTCTAGAGCAGTGATTTTCAACTGGTGTGCCGCCAGAATTTATAAAACAGGCAGTACCTGACTATTTAGTCAGGGGCACTGACCTCTTTTCCCTCAGACTGTCAAATAAAAAGCTGACAGCGGCCAACACAACAATAGTGTCTGCTGTGAATGCTCTGCCTCAAACCATAAATATGCAGGTCACATAAAGTTCCATCTCATTGGTTAATTCTGGCTACCAGAAATCCTTATATATAAGTATAGACCTGATTTTTAAAAAAATCACTTTGGAGCAAAAAAGTAATTTTTTTTGTAAATCAATCAAAATTATACCTCCTCTTAGTCAGACTGGTAAAAATAGTATTTTTTTTTGTGTGTGCTGTAGAATTTTAGTAATTAGTTTATATGTGTGATGAGATGGAAAAGGTTGAAAATCGATGTTCTAGAGTACCCCCGAATACAAGGGAGGACCCCCCAAAACCCAGATAATCTGTAGGAAGCCCCTTGTAGTACAGGCTTACCCCCAAGGTGAGTATTCTAGGAACTCATCTGTATCAGTGTACCAGTTGGTGGTGTTGTGAGAGGCTGCGCTCAGCTTCAGTGAATTTTTTTGAAGAGTCCTTGAACGTTTTTGCCCATTTCATGATGGGTGATTTATGAGTGCTCCTGCCCACACAGCGCTGAGCGTCCAGCAGTTTTTGACCAAAAACGGCATGACCCCCATGCCCCACATGCCTTATTCACCCAAAGCAACTTTTTTGTTTCCCTGGATGAAAAAGTACTCAAAGGGAAACATTTTGCTGATGTGGGACAGGTGAAACAAAAAATGGCAGAAGCACTAAGAGGCATCAAAAATGACGAGCTGCACAATTGTTCTGAGCAGTGGAAAAAAGGTCTCCATAGGTGTATTGCATCAAATGGAGAGCGCTTTGAAGGTGACTGAAGTTTCAATGTGTAAGAATAAGTACACAATTTTAATAAATAAATTGTTTTTTGGGGTTCCCCCTCATACACTAATTTTGCACTATGGAAGATGAGGATTTCGTTCTAATGACCACGGACCACCTGTTCCCTCCCCTCTGCCTGCAAACACACAGCCCCCACACTGTTTCCTTGAATTTTATCGTGACTTGGACTAGATTAACAGTCACTAGCTTGACATTATGCTGTCTGCATAAACCATAGCCTTGGCTCGCTTACAAGGTTTATCATAACCTTCCTTCCTTTTCCTGTAGCTATTTTATTTTTCTTTGGGGTTACTGATTGTCCTGTGTTTCACTGGCTTATTTTCTCTAAAGTTATCAGGAATTTAAATCCAATTTCACCCGTAGTTTTACATATTTCTCAATTTGTGCAAATATATTAGTTATTCTTACAATTTCATCTTTTTGGAGAAAACTTTCTGAAACCTTCTAACTTGCCTCAATCTGGGTTGGCTGCTGCTCTCTGGACCTGCTAAGTAGCTGTGCTCCCCGAGCGGTTTGGGGATCTCCCTACAGTACCATCTGGGGAATAACTTTGTCTTGCTCTGGATGATCTGTTCACTTGTTCTCAGGCACTCGTCATCCTTAGAGTATGTCCTCATTTTTGTAGCACAAATCCTCCAGTGGATTCTGGGGTGCATGTGAATACATTTTAGGACTCCTGAATGTCTGAAATGGCTTTACTCTATCCTCACATTTAACTGGTTTGGTTAAATGTTGAATGTAGGTGGGAAGTCATTTTCTCTCAGAACTCTGAAGACATTCTTTCACTGCCTTGTTTCTGGTGTGGCTGCGGGAAATGTGTAGCTTTGGTAATTCTCCATCCTTTGGTGGAAATCTTTCTTTTCACCCAGTTCTACAAGTTTGTAGGATTATCACCTTGTTTCCAGAGTTCTGAGCTTTTTCAGTGATGGGTCTGCGTGTGGGTTATATTTATTTGTGTGGGACAATTCCATGGACTTTTTCAGGTCTTTCATTAGTGGAAAACTTTATTGAATTGTATCTCTGTTTCCTTCATTTTATCTATTCTGTCTTTCTGGAATTCCTGTTTTTTAGATTTTGAATCACTGGGGTTGGTTCTCTATATTTTTTTCTTACCTTCCATTTCTGCCTATACTCTATTTTCTGGGGAGACTTCCTCAATTTTATCTTCCAACTTTTCTATTGTGTTTTTACCATGTAGATACCGTACTTTAATTTCTAATGATCTTTGTTGTGGTTGTTTTATGAATGAGTATTTTTTCTGAAGCATTCTACTCCTGCATAGACTTGTTTCCTCCCAGTGGCATTTTTGTTTAATAGCATTTTATTATTTTGTTTTTACCTAAAGAGTCACTGAGAAAATGAATTTCAAAAGAATGATATTTTTAAAGTGAGGTTAATGTTAATGAGGTTTCATGTTAATATCATTATTGACTATTTTCTAATCAAAGGTAAATAACTTGTCCAGAGCTTAATTTGAATTGTTTTTGCTTAATTACTATCTACCAGGTACTCACATGAAAACAGCAAAATGTAGATAGGAATGATACTTTTTTTCCTATTTGTTTTTGTCTGTCATCACCACATCCTCTCTGTGAGTATCTGGTGATCCCTGGCTGTCTTGCTGGCATACAACAGTGTAAACTAAAAGTTAAGTGAAAGGTCTGTGTATGGAGGAGCTGTGATTCACTGAAGGTACACTGGCTGTTTCTCTGACAAAATCACTAAGTTCAGAATGTTTGCGTGTTTTTTCATTTGTGACTCCTGCCTGGAGGGACAAACAGAGTGGGATTCTGGGAAGCAAGTGGGGTAAGGCCTGCACCCTCAAATTCAGTAAACATATCCACCACTCCTTGTCCAGTACAGTGGTGCCACACTGGAATGTGCCTGATCTTGCTCAGTCCAAAGAGTTAAACCTCCAGTCTTCTGCCAGGGTGGGGAAGGGAGTCTAACTGCTTTTTGAAGTGACTTCTGACCAATCCTCATGTCTTCAGTTCCACTTTCACTCCATTTCCAGTTCCCGAGCTTCCAGATTTTAACTCCAAATCAAGTTGTTTTTTGGTTTTTACCTACTACTGACTTGGCATTCAGCTTCCTTAGGCTGCTAAGTCAGTTAAAAGTTTGTTGTTGTCTTCTCTTCTGCTTTCTTATTCCTCAAGGGTTTACCTTAACCACTGACTACCCCTGGAGTGGGATTTGAGAGGGAGCAGAGCTAACTGCCTGCATTAAGCTGCCATCTCTAAATGAAAGTTCCATTCTGCTCTTCCACAAATCAGAGGATCACAGTTCCTACCTGCTGAGAAGGACCCCAAGAGAGGACATAGTGAACTCTTCCCTTCAGAGAGCGAAGTATGTGGTTTGATTTGCAGGTGAAGTGGCTCAAGCACCATGGAGGTGAGCGTCTGGCCCAACGTCATCACAGGCATACAGACAGATCCCATGTTGTCACCTATTCTATGTACCGTTAACAATTATCCCTCAAAAGTTCAATTTTCCCCCCTACTTTTGGACTATTTCAGCAACAGCTAGATTCTTTCTTGTAAGACCTTAAATTTCTATCTTTTTCCAATGGGCAGATGAATTCTTCATAGTAGAATACTGTGTTACACTAGCTATAAAATATGGCTAAATGTTTTATTTATTGTGATTTGGCTTAAACAATTTCAAATACAACCAGGTTTTTTTTTTTTAAAGTAGTAGATCTGCTTTAGATAGATTATTTTGAGTAATGTCTACAAAGACTTTTAGAGAACAACTACCAACATACCATAGTTTAAATTTAATTTGTATAACTTTTTTTAAATAAGTGGTAAAATAATTATATTAAATTTCAAGAAATACTTGAAACTTAAAAAACAGCTTGGTTTGTTTTAGTGTCTTAACCTATTTGGTATAATGCTATTTGCTACATTTTAGGGAAAGAACACAGGCTTTGATAAAATGGCATTTTTAGGGGGAAGAAGGACTGAGATTTGGGATTTAACTTATTTAAAATTGATGCTAATTCCCCCTCCACCCCAGTGTAATATACACATAGCCTTAAAATACCCAAGTTGTTTTTGATGAGTAATTCATTTTAGTCTGTAAAAATTTTAAGAGCTTTATAAGAAGCTTCAACAAATGCATCACTCTAGAGGAAAATGAGGGATAACAAGAAAACCATTGCTAAAGACTTACAGATTCTTTCCTGCCCATAGTTTTGCTGTGTGAGCGGGAACGTGAGATGGTGCTGAAGAAGGAATCCTTTTTAGTAGCAGACAAAGGTGGGGAGCCAGTGGTTTCTCTGCCTCCAGGCAAACTCTCAATGCTTGGAGATGAACTGATGTTTTTAGAACTTTGTCCTGTAAGAAAAATTAAGTAGCAATAATGAAATGCCACTCTTTCACTAAGCTACTGAACTTAGTAGCTACTGAACTTACTGTTCTTAGTAATCATGATACCTCTTTGTTCACCTTGTTGACAACATGACAGCATGGAGCATTAAAATGCATACATTTTTATGTACCAGCATAGCTGCCAAGTTTCGGAAACATTAAGTAGGCGATAGTTTTCTACGTGTAATTTATACTACAGTAGACCCAAGTGTCGCATGCATATAAAACATAAACAATTCAGTTTTTAGAAATCATAGGTTAAAAGACTGGACCCTCAGTAATAGAATCATCCTTAATAATAGAAACTGGAAACTATTACAATGTACATTATACTAGTAATATAAGAAAATTGAAATCCATCAGTTTTTCAAAAGGGTCTTTTTCCTTTTCATTAACTGCAGGACAGATACATGGCTGCCTTAGCCTCTGGTAGAAGCATCTAGAAACAGGGACAAGGTGCTGGCTCACAGGGCCTCTTTCTAGACCGGTCCCTGTATGAGTGGATTCATCTGTGATCACCAACAATGCTCCATAAAGCTCCCTCATACAGGAGCAAGGGCAAGTCCTGCTGAGAAGGCAGCATGATGTAGAAGTCAGGTCTACAGAATGAGCCACAGCCAGACCCATGCAGGTCTCACTAATAAACAGGGCTACTCCAGTAAGATTGTTATGGGAATTCAAGGACCTAGTAAAATACCTGCTGCATTCATCCATTCAACCATTAGTATCTGAAGGCCCAGTAAGTGCTAGACAATTTTGGGTGTGGGGAGACAGTAGAAACTAGTGACATAAAAAAATCCTATCCTTCAGGGAGGGTACTTTCTAGGGAGGGGGAGACAGCCAAGTACAGGGTGGGGTAAAAGTAGATTTATAGTTCCTTGTATGGAAAATAGTGTGGTAATTAGTAAATAATAATACAGGAAGAAACTCTGTGCTTTGCATACTCACAACTGTCATCTACTTTTGCCCCATCCTGTACATTAGTAAAATATATATGATTTTAGATGGTGGTAAGTGCTGTGGAGAAAAACAAAGCAGAAAAGGAGAATGTGGTGGAGGAACGTGTTGCAACCTTAAATAGGATGGTCAGGACAGGTGTCACTGAGTATTGAGGTGAACTGACATCTGAGCAAAACCTGGAAGGGAAACACCAGCTTTGCAGGTGACATGGAGGAGCAAGCACAAAAGCCCCAAGCAAGACCTTTGGGTTTTCAAGGAACAGCAAGGTGGCCGGTGTGGCTACAGCTAAGAATGAGGGGGCGAGGGGTGGGAGAGGAGGTCTGAGAGCAAGCAGGGGATCAGATCAGTTGGTGGTTTGTAAGCGATTTTGGTTACTTTTGCTGAGAAGGGAAGCCACTGGAAGCCAATACAGGATTCGAGCAGAGAAGTGACATGATCAGACTTACTTTGAAAAGGATCACTCTGGCTGCCTGGTGAGAATAGAATTAGGAGCAGGAGAGGCAAAAATGAAAGCAGAGAAATCAGTTTTTGCCACTGCAAAACTCTAAGTAAGAAGAATGATCAGACCTTGGTGGTGAGAAGAGGTCAGATTCTGGACAAAACTGAGTGGATTTACTGAGGAAAAATTAGGGGTATGAGAAAAAGAGGGGAGTCAAGTTTAACCCCAAGTATTCTAAAGTTAGATGCTGGTGATGGCTGACCATTCTCTATGAATGTACTAAAATCCACTGAATTAAAGGTGAATTTTATGATATATGAATTATATCTCAATAAAGTTGCTCTTTTTATAAAGTCAGTTTTCACATTTCCCAGCTAGTGACTGGCACCAAAGAGCCTGCCCATTTCTACCCAACAAAGGGCTTTCTAGTCAGAAATCTTGGCTCCAGAGTTTCTTGTTCAGTTTGCAGAGACTTTTGTGATGTCTGCACCGCAGCTGACAATGTCCACTTGCGCAGTTCTATGTCCTCCCTTTCTCCTTCCACAGCTGTTATTCCCTAAAAAAACCTTGTGCACTTCTGTCTCAACCTGTATGGATGATATTGTTGCTGACCCGTGAAAAGCAGTAACCCTGAGGTTAGGAAAGCAGAGGGGAGAACTGGTCCCAGGGCTGAGGACAGTTTTGCTAGCAGTGAATTCTGTCATTGTCTGTGATTGTCTTAATTTTCCTTCTTTTTTGAAGGATAGTTTTATTGGATATAGAATTACTGGTTGACAGTCTTTTTTTAAAAAATGACTTTGATAATATCATCCTATTGCCTTCTGGCCTCCACGGTTTTGATAAAAATCAGCTGTTGATATTATTGAGATTCCTGTGGATATCATGAGTTGTTTTCTACTTGCTGCTTTCAAGACTCTCTCTTTGCTGTTGACTTTTAAGTTTGCTTGTGATGTGTCCAAGTGTGGATGTCTTTGAGTTTACCCTGCTTGGAGTGAATTGAGCTTCTTAGATATATAATGTTTTTCATAAAACTGGAATATTTTAGCTACAATTTCTACATTCTTTTTGCCCCTTTCTCTTTTCTTTTTTAAAAAAGCTATCTACTTATTTATTTTTAGAGAAAAGAGAAGGGAGGAAGAAAGAGAGGAAGAGAAACATCGATGTGTGAAAGAAACATGAATCGGTTGCCTTTTGTATGCACACTGACTGGGAATCGAACTGGTGACCTTTCGCTTTGTGTAATGGTGCCCAACCAACTGAGCCACACTGGCCAGAGCTCCGCTCTCCTTCTTGACTGCCAACATCTGTATATTGGTATGACTCATGTCTATAAGTCTTTAAGGCTCTGATAATTTTTCTTCATTCTTTTATCTTTCTCTATTCTGGATTGGATAATCTCAATTGACCTATCTTTAAGTTCTGATTCTTTCTTCTGTCAGCTCAAATCTGATACGATCCTCTGTAGTGAGTTTTAAAATTTTAGTTATTGTACTTTTCACCCCCAGAATATCTGTTTGGTTCTTTAAAAAATTACTATCTCTTCATTAATATTCTCTATTTGGTGAGACATTGGTCTCATACTTTCTGTTGGTTCTTTAGACACAGTTTCCTTTAGCTTTTTGAAGATATTTATAATAGCTGATTTAACGTCTTTCGTAGGTCCAGTGTCTCACTCAGCTTCCTGAGGGGTAGTCTGTATTGACTGCTTTTTTCCATGTACATGAGCCATACTTTCTACTTTTCTGTTTCTTTGTATGTTTCAGAATCTTCACTGAAAGCTGGATAATTTAATAAAATAATGTGGCAGCACTGGAAATTAGATCCCATCCTATCCCTTGGATTTGTTTTTCTTTTTTCTTTTTTAGTGACTTCCTTAAAACAAATTTTGCTAAGTTATGTTCTTTGGCCACTGAAGTCTCTGCTGGTTAGTGGTCAGTAAAGAGACAGAGACTTCCTTTCCTTAAATGCCTTGAACCAACAAGTCTCAAAGGCATTGGTGGGGGTTCTGTGTGTGCTTCGGGACATGCCTTCAATGCTCCAGCAGAGATTTACAATTCTGCTTTACCCTTCGTTTCTGCACATGCAGAGCCTCAGGGTTCATGCAGAATTGAGAGATTATACCATTCGCAAGTCTCTCCTGGCCATGCACACAATCCTGTGTGTGTGTCCTAGAATCCCAGAAATATACTGAACCTTTTCAAAGACCCCTATGGGTCTTTGATTTGGCTAGCCTCTGATTTTTCTGTTAAATTTTTGGTTAGCCTCTTGCTTCATTTCTGCCTTGGGCAGCTGTGGTGTTAAGTAATTTCCACGATTACTGTCAATGGATGCCCTATGGATAGGGTTTTTCTTAGTGAATTCTGAACAAGGTCAAATAAAGACAAGCTCTATGAATGAGGCTTTTCTGGGGAGCTGCTGGACAAGTCAAACAGTTACAATTTACTGGGGAATGGGACTTTTAGGATGCTCCAAGTCCATTTTTCCCCTCCAGTGGTCACAAGACTGATGGTTAATAAAGACTATGGCAAACCTGGGGAGGGCTAGGGAGGGATAAGGCAAGTTAAAAAGCTATAAATCATGCTGCTCTAATGGAGATCCAGCCATTTTTTTCTTGAATAGATACTTCTCAAATTGTTGCAATTCTTTGATTCATTTCCTGAGTTCTGAAAAAGCTGACTGATATTTTTTGCCACTGATCTTGTTGTCTATGGAGACGTTTTCAGAGATCTTTATTCTGCCTTCCAAAAGTGCTTCCCTCTGTGACTTGCTTATTGGATTGAACTTGGGTCTTGAAAATCTGTCTTTCTCGTATACAAAAAAAAGTCTGTCTTACTCTTTTTAATGGCTGTGAAGGAAAAAAATTGTAGCTTTCCTAAAAAAGCATTTAGAATTTTCCCAATTTTCTGTCTTTACAAACTAAATGACAATTAAAAATCTAAAGAGGTCCGTCCTTAGGTACAAATAGTTGGTTATTTTTATTAGGTAGAGTTATATAAATGGAACTAAGTCTAACTGTATTTTAAATTTACATAAATTATTCCAAATTGCTTTCCCCTAGGATTTTAACAGATATATGTGTGCATGTATATTCATATATATATGTGCAAATATAACATGATATATCTTTGTCCATTCATCTCATTTTTTATTTGGTTAATCTAATGAAGGGAGAACTTCATTATGTTCGCTTGATGTTTCCTGATAACTAATGAGGCTGGAGGTTGAAAAATATTCAGCCTCATTAGTTGTGTAGGCCACCCGAAGGTCCCGTCTGAACTGTCTCTGCTCATTTTAATTTAGGAAGCTGATCCAGGGGAGGTCCTCCTAAATTCTGGAACTCAGCCCTTTGTGTGTGTGTGTGTGTGTGTGTGTGTGCGTGTGTCCACACTTTCCTTTATGGCTTTTGTTTTTATGGTTCTGCTTAGGAATGCATTTCTTACTCCAAGATGATGTAGTGGGAAGAAATCTAAGTATTTATCATAAACCTAGGTTTTTCTTTTTCCTTCCATGAATATTTTCTCATTGCTACTTGGACCACTACTCTTTAAGTAGCTTTTACTGCCTTTGG